CAGGTTTGTTCCTAGTAAAGATTCGAACTTTGCATTCGTTAATGCCATTGAAGTTATATCTGCGCCTAAAGATTTGATTGGTGACGTTGCAACCTCTGTATCTCATGATGGAACTGAGAAATTCAATGGTTTAGCTACACAAGCGATGGAAGTTGTGTACAGAATCAATGTTGGTGGTAGAAAAGTTACTCCTTTTAATGACACATTGTGGAGGACTTGGGTTACTGATGATGAATTCTTTAAAACCGGTGATGGGTCGTCTGAGAAAACTTACTTCACCGGTAGGATCAAGTATAGGCCTGGAGGGGCTAGTCGCGAAGTTGGTCCTGATAATGTCTATAACACTGCTCGTGTTGGTAAAAGAAGCAATGGATTGGTTGATATGAGTTGGGATTTCAAGGTGAGCTCGGGTTACAAGTATCTCATCCGGATGCATTTCTGTGACATAGCTAGCAAATCACTCGGCAGGCTATACTTTAATGTTTACATTAACGGGAACTTGGCGTACCAAGATTTCGATATCTCATACGCTGCGGATGATGTCCTTGCTTCTCCGTATTACATTGATTTCGTTGTGGATGCTACCGCTGATACCAACAACCCTTTGGGATCAACGATAACCGTAAGTGTTGGACCATCAAACAAGACTAATGTTGATGAACACGGAGTTGATGCGATATTGAACGGTGTTGAGATCATGAAGATGAATAACTCGATGGGTAGTCTTGATGGGTATGTTTCGACAGAAATGATTCTGAGTAGTTGCCCGAATAGAAGAAACCTGAGCATATTTATCGCAATGTTGGCATTTATGTGTATATTTATGAGCTTCTACATTGTGACTCAAAGAAAGAAAGTTAAGGATCAGTATGGCTGGACAAAGCTGTCCATGGACATCCTTGAAGATAATCCCAAGTCCGGGAATCAATTTGCAGCAAGAAAGGCTTGAAGATGCTTTTGCTTGTTGAATATATTAACAATCTACTTCTTTCTTGAGTATTTACTACTTTTGATATGATGGAATAATCTTTTTTTTCTGGGTTTATTAGGTTTGTAATATTTCACAAGGGTGTTGATGTGTTGTTTATATATATGTATCTGGTATATTTATTCAATGATATTGGAGAGACTCGATATGTAATTCTCGAAATGGAAATGTTATCTTTATGTTCATTGTTATTATTGATGTCTCTTTGTTTGATAGTTGATAACTTTATATAAGTAATGAATAATTTATCAAACAAATAAGATGATAAATCTATACATGGTCAAAAGCCGCGGTGATGTCATGTCCTGTCCTGGTGATGAGCAAAGAAAGAATGGTACGGTTACCGTACCGCATGATCCTCACCTCCGAATCTAACAACAAGTCATTGCATCATAGATCTAATATAAGAAGGCCATTAGATTTTCTTTTTTTTTTTTCACCAAAACATGAAATCATAAACTAGATTAAATTGTACTAAATATATATTCTCAAATATGCAATAAAGGTTGCATGGTCCTTGGCCTCTTCCCCAAAGTCAAAATACCAACATTTACTATCTTCTTTTAATCCCCTCTAGTTCAGTATTAATACATTTTTTATGTCATATAGATAAAAACAATGAATTCAAACACAACCAGATACATGGAGAGTAGGTAATGGAGAGAGTCACATGCCTGGACCATGCACTGGTAAGTACTTTATCAAATTCCGTACGAAGCACTTCATTATTACAAATTATCTTATATATACACATTCTTTCTCCTCTCATTCTCCACAACAACAATCGATCAAGATCAAGAGAGAAGAGGATATGGACAACAGCGAAAAGGTTTCAGCAACAAGCCCATCATCGAGAGATGAGTTCAAAGATGTGATTAAGGGATTGATTAAGCTCTTAATGCTGGTGATTTTCCTAGGAATCATCTTCATTTGGGCCCTTATGCCAACCATGGTCTATCGAACCAAGTGGTTAAACCCTGTCATGCGTACCGAGTTTGGTACATCGACTTATTTTGGTGCTATAGGTTCGTATACATCAATTAATCTCGTTGTTGCTTTTTCACATTATACAATTTCAATATGTGATGGTTTTAACTTTTAACTGTTTCTGTTTGGGCGGTATATATATACAGGCTTGACCTTTTTCATGTTCATGTTCCCAATGGTCCTCATGGCTTGTTTGGGATGTCTCTACCTTCACTTGAAGAAACAAAAGAATACTAATCACCTCGCTAGGTAATTACTCATCGATTAACGGCTCTTTCATTCAAAACATATGTATATATATATCGATCGTATATCTTCGTGACAACACAACTATGTGATTTTAATTAACAGGGAGAAGATAACTGACGGGGGAGTTTTCGCAGCAATGAAAAGGCCAATGCTGGTCAAAGGGCCATTGGGGATAGTCTCAGCAACTGAGTTAATCTTGTTGGCAATGTTTGTAGCTCTTCTTCTTTGGAACTTTTTCATGTACATGCGCAATGCTTTCCCTACCATTACTCCTCAATCAGCCGCTAAACATCACCAAAAATTGTAAGCACTTTTTCAAAAATACAACTTAGTTTCTATTCAAACATATATGTCTTTTAGTAATTCCAACATTATATTATAGATGGCAAGCAAGGTTGGAGGCAATGGCAGTAAGGATCGGGCTAGTCGGTAACTGTTGTCTAGCTTTCCTATTCATACCGGTGGTGCGTGGATCATCATTGCTTCCGGTTGTAGGGCTGACGTCAGAGTCAAGCATCAAGTACCATATTTGGCTTGGTCACATGCTCATGACCCTCTTCACCGCTCATGGTCTTTGTTTCATTGTCTATTGGGCCTCAATGCATGAAATCTCTCAGATGGTGAGTTGGGGTAAGACCGAGATGTCGAATGTTGCCGGGGAGATAACTTTGTTGTCTGGACTTGTGATGTGGGCCACCACATATCCATCGATTAGAAGGAGATTCTTTGAAGTTTTCTTCTATAGTCACTACCTTTACATCGTATTCATGCTCTTTTACGTCCTCCACGTAGGCGTCGCCTTCTGCTTTATCACCTTCCCCGGTTTCTATATCTTCATGGTCGATCGTTTCTTGAGGTTTCTACAGTCACGTGACAATATTCGGTTGAGCTCTGCACGTGTTCTTCCGTCCGACACCGTTGAGCTCACTTTCTTCAAAAACAAAGGTGAGTCTTAATCAATATCATAAGTATGAGTCAATTTTTGAGCTACAAGCAAATGGTGTATGTTTCGTCTAGCTAAGCTCTATAAATGGCTCGGTTTGGACTTGTCCTGATAGGTTATTGGAGCTATATAATATCGCTAATCATATATATGTGATGTTACAGGATTGGTGTATAATCCGACGAGCATATTGTTTGTGAACATACCGAGCATTTCAAAGCTGCAGTGGCATCCATTTTCGATTACTTCGAGCAGTAACCTAGAAGCAGATAAGCTAAGCATTGTGATTAAGAGTGAAGGGAAATGGTCTACAAAGCTTTACGAGATGCTTTCTTCTTCTGATCATATCGACAGTTCTCTCTCTGTTTCTGTCGAAGGACCATATGGTCCTACTTCAATAGATTTCCTAAGGTAATAATTGCCTGTTCAAATCTGATCAGTTTTATTTTAAAGTTGATTTATTGTCGTTAAGTAAATTAGGATTGGGTTTTCTTCTGACACAAGTAACGTGAATGAGGTTTTTTTTTTTTCCTTCTTCTTCCAGGCACGAGTCTTTGGTTATGGTTAGCGGAGGCAGCGGAATTACACCATTCATCTCCGTAATCCGCGACTTAATCGCCATAACCCAAACAACTTCATGTGAAATCCCCAAAATAACTCTGATTTGTGCATTCAAGAACGCTTCTGACATCGCCATGCTTGACCTAATCCTCCCTACATCAGGTCTCCAATTATCAACTGACCTGAATATCCAAATCGAAGCCTTCATCACCAAAGAGAAAGAACCAAGAAACGAAGAAACACAGAAGATCAGAACCATCTGGTTCAAACCAAATCTCTCGGACCAACCAATCTCAGCAATCCTAGGACCAAACTCATGGCTTTGCCTCGCAGCCATCCTCGCATCTTCCACACTAATCTTCATGATAATCATCGGAGTCATGACAAGATACTACATTTACCCGATCGATCAAAACAAGAACAAGTACAATGCTGCTTCAAGATCAATCCTTTATCTTCTGGTCCTCTGTGTTAGCATCATGGTGACGTCAAGTGCAGCTGTATTGTGGAATAAGAAGAAGTACAATGTAGAGAGCAGTAAACAGGTCCAAACCGTCGACGTACCAAGCCCAACATTTTCTCCTAGCTCATGGGCTTACAGAGAAATTGAGAGTAATCCTCAAGAGTCACTTGTTCAATGCACCAACCTCCATTTCGGTGAAAGACCAGACCTCAAGAGTAAGTATATCCCACAACGTTATACTCAAAATTTGCATGTGTATATACATAACACTCTGTAATATGACCATATGTTTTTGTGAAAGCAGAGATTCTACTTGAGACCAAAGGTTCAAGCGTGGGAGTTATGGTGTGCGGTCCGAAGAAGATGAGACAAAAAGTGGCCAAGATTTGTTCTTCTGGTTTGGCTGAGAATCTTCACTTTGAATCCATCAGTTTCAGCTGGTGATTGCCGCCAATTTATATATAACTCTGTTTGTGTGATTGCTTCTTCTCTGTTTTTCTAAAGAGTATTATTGTGGAAATGGTCCTTAAAATGTCTTACCTCTCTGTTTTTAACTTTTGTATTTCCTGATCCAAATCGAGGCGTGGAGCATTGTATACGTAAATTCTGAAATGAATGATTTGTTGTTTTTTACTTTTTTTCTTTCCCAAAATGATTTGTTATCTATCTCCATTATGTTATTGAGTCTTGATTGATACATATTACATACTACAGAAACAAATAACAAAATTGATTCAATTGCTTTTATTGGTTATATAATATAATGTTTGCGTACACACATACAAACAAATAAAGGTAATTATAAACGGGAAATTAGCATTACGAGTACGACCATTTCGTGCAAGAAAAACCCTTTGGTTCATATTCATAGATCATAATACAATAATTAATTAGCTATCTCTATTTTAATTATTGAATATGCTATGCTTTTGCTTCAAAGGCATGTTTTTCAACAATGTGAACTTCTCTCTTTTTTGCTTTTTCTTTATATCGTCATTCTTGTCTTGTCCGTCACCAACCAATCATACACCTTTTGCCCATTCACATGTTCTTCTATGATTGGTTGTTTTCCATCACAGTCAGTAGCTTTATAATCTCTTTGACGTACGTTTCAATCTTCTTCTCTAAATCCCGCCCTCGCGTTACACGCTCACACCTAATTGTAATATACTACAAAGGATATAAATAGTCAATTTATATCCTCTCTAAACCTTTTCTTTCTTTCTCCATATTTGATCGTAAAAAAGATTAATTCCTAAATTCTTTGTTTTCTTATTCACCATTCTTTTTTAAAAAAGAATCATGGGCTTTTCTTACGCCGGCGCCGGAGTTATCATCGTCGGAGTTATCTTGAATGATTTTATCAGAGGGGTTCGTTCTTTTCTTGATATTCGTCGTTTGTTAGGTGTTTATTCGTCGGCATCTTCGGGGAGTACCATCGCCGGTATAAACAAGATTCCGATGGACGATATGCTTCCGGCGACAAAATTCGAGGAGATGTCAAGGGTTAATCCGCCGGAGAGCTGCCGGATATGCCAAGATGAGTTCGACGGCGGTGACGAAGTCCGTTGTTTGAGGAATTGCGTACATGTTTATCACAAGACTTGTATTGACCGTTGGATCCAAGACGATATGATGACGTGTCCTTTGTGTAGGACCCCGATCGTCCCTGATTTCTACTTTTTTCGTTTGTAAATTAGAAAAGCTAAATGTTTCATTAATCACAGATCTTTTTTTCTTTTCTTTTCCCTAGCAAATATAGAAATCGTTCAAAAAAAAAAAAAAAAAAACTAACTTTTTGTCTATTTATTTTCGTATCTTTGCTTCCCATTATTCATTTTCCATCCAAAAATTTATGGTTAATAACTCTTTCTTAGAACATTTATTATTTAAATATTAAAGACCAGAAAATTGGATAAACAACAAAAGGAAAATTTCACCTTAATCCACGTCACATGTATGTTTTTTTTCCTCGATCCACGTCACATGTATATAACAACAAGAAGTAAGCAAAATAACTAAGTAGAAGAAATCCAATTCAATATTGGGCCTTTCTTTGAAGCCCACATGCTATTTGGGTCAAAAGAGTCAAGACCCAAGACATATCTCTAGTTTTTGAATTTTATTTGATCACATAAGAACTTTATGATAAGATTGACACCACGAGAACACACACACACGTTGCAGTTTCAGTGGATCTACTTCATTTGAACAGTAACACATTTAGTGTATTCCGCTATAAACATTCTTTTTCTGCATACAGGTTAATTTCGCTAAATTAATGATGTTATTTCACGCTTATAATTTGTTTCCCTAATATTTATTGATAAAACCCTACATACGTGCCACGTAAGCGTTAGAGATACGCCAAAGAACGACCGTCAGGTTCTCTGTCTATCTCCTCCGCTTATAATCAAATTTTGGCCGTTTGATTCTCTTTAACTCACGACGAGCATTAACGGTGGCCTTTTGCCTACTTCACCACCATCGTTGCCGCATACGATCGATCACTGATCACAATTCCAGCTCAAGTGGGTCACACGTGTTCGCCACTCTCTCGCCTGTCGCGCGTGTCTCTCACGCTCCATATTTTTTTGTTTGTTGTCCCCTTAATCACACGATCTTAAGATGTCTGATTTCACCCGTAAGTTAAAAAACCTCGGAGGCAAAAATAAAATCCCATGTGCATGCTCAGTCAAACTCACCCCTCACGTGACCCATTGCCTTCTATCACGTGATAGACGAGTACCATTTTTAGATACAACTAACCAAAATATATGTCAGATAGATTCATATGGATCAATTAGGATTTCTTTTACAGTATCTTGTATAGTTGTATGTATAATTTGAACACATTAACGCCGTTGACAAAATTTAAAAGTAAATAGAGGTATGACTTTTAATTTATTGACCAAAAAAAGGAGTAAAATTGTTACGGTGGGTCTTGGCACAGGCGATTCTTTTCCTTGGAACTTAAATTTGGTAAAATTTAGCGGCAGCTTTTCTTTTTTAATTTTTCCTACTACATCAGAGGGGTATTATAGGGAACTAAAGTAAAACCTAAGGACATTTCCGACCAATGAAAAAAACATATGGAAAATATAAGAAGGGCCGAGAAAAGCAAAACAAAAAAAAAGTTTAATAAACCAGAGAAAATAAAAAAGAACCCTCCTATCGAGTTCTGTGAGATCTGCTCCAAAAAAAAAAAAAAAACTGGTGGAGAAGAAGAGGTGGTGAATCGAGTTATATGCTTACGTGGTGATGTAAAATATTTATATATTCAGCGTTTTATACATCTTCTTACTTGTGTTTGGTTTCTTTTGGGCCAAAGTTTTTTTTTTGTGGGTAAAATGAGGATTCGGAAGAACACGAAGCTGTCATCGGTTCTTTTAGCGACAGCAGGTTGCGGCGGAGAGAGACCGGACACGTATGTCTGTCACTTAAACCAGTCTCCATGGGATGTGATTCCGGTTTCTTCCTCCGGCGATTGCGAGTTAACGAACCTACTCGACTCGTCGTGGTTCCTTCCTTTATCGTCTTCGTCTTCTTCTTCTCCGCCTCTCATTCGCAAGGTAATTCAATTCATTTCAATGTGTGATTTCATTTGGATTTTGCTTCCATGATTAATGTCCAGCATTTCTTCTATTATCCTCCGCCTCTTATTAGGGTTTTCTTTCGTTTTTTCTTATGTTCGGGGAACTTTAAAGAACCCTAAAATTGTGGATTTTGAGATCCTGGGTCGTTTAATCTATCGATTAGGGTTAATGGGTCGTTATTATTTTGCTTCGTTGATTCCCATTTCGTTCTCTATCTCCGATTATTCTTTTTGTTATTACAAAGTTTCTTCGTTAACTCAGTTCAATGGAGATGAAGATAGCTTCAATGGGACTGTGAGTTTGGGAGATTGTAATGGCGCTGCTCAAAGGTAATTATCCATTTTGTTCTTCACTCCAAACCACTTCCCAATTATCGACTATTGTCTCCTTCCTTCGTTAGCTTCGGTGTTTTTCTAGGGTTTTAGTCGTATTTTTTGATAATCGGGTAATTTAATTTCGCCCGAATCGAAATGCCGGGCGACCCGGTTACAATTTTTCAATCTTTCTTTTAATCGTTTTCTAATTATCGTCCATATTTAATAGCTCCATGAGAAGTAATCACACTCTTGTCTCCGTCGAGAAGCTTAATCTCAATGCGGCGGAGGATAAGTACGATATATCCCCGGAAGTTGAAGACCCAATGGATCAGAGCGCTAGCTATGACAAGAAATCTGAAGCTCGCGAGCCTAATTCGCCGGTCAAAACCTCCGGCGATGATGGCAAAGTGGCTGTAACAATTCCGGCGCCGCCTAAACGTGGACGGCCACGTGGTTCGGGCAAGAAAGCTTCCGCTCCCGCATTGAAGAATCCGTACGAGTTTTATTATTACTCTGGTTTCGGCCCACGGTGGGGTAGGAAAAGAGGCGGCTCCGACGACGAGAAGATGGTTACGAGCGATAATAAAAAGAGTAGAAGTAGCACTACTAGTAGCAGTACTAGTGATGAAGAGGGTAATAATACGGCGGCGTTTGGAGGTGGGAGTGTTAGTTTTGATGAGTTTGATTTTGTGGAAGAGGATTATGACGTAATGGAACAAGATCAAGAAAGTGATCATGGGAGGAAGAAAAATAAAGAGAAGATGATAATGATGAAGAAGACGATGAAGAGAGGAAGGAAGCCCGTAAAGGAAAGGTCTTTGAAATCCCTCATGTGAAATATTTTTGCCTTTTGAGGGCATTTCTGTCTTTTCCTCTATTGTTGTTGTCTGTTTTTGTTGGTGGGAGGACTTGGTCTGTTTGTTTAGTTCGGGAACTTTTGTAGAAAGATTTTCTACATCTCTGTTGTATTTGGTTATATGACTGTTTTAGTTTTCAAATTATTTTTCTATCGACTTTGATGTATCTCAATGCTTAAACAACAAATAATTTAAAGTAAAAAATCATCAAAATCAATAAACTAGTCGATACTATTTTTCATCATAGTTTTTGTTTTAAGCAAAAAAAATGTGCGATAAAACAATCGCTTTTACCCTGTTTTATGTGATTGTTTCTCTAGAGTTTAGTATGCATCAAATTTCAATTCAGAGTTTAGTTTATTGCCTTCTTCATGTCATTTATCAAACCCGCGGGTAGCATATATGAAATACAAACCCGTCCCGCGAATGTATGCAGATTTGCGGGATTATCCATGGATTTTGTTTAAATAATTTTAAAGTAACCAAAATTTAAAATACTAATAAAATAAATAAATAAATCAAAATACTATTAAAAGTTTGTTTAAACTACCACATGTTGAATAAATTATAATTTTATCAATAAATACTAATATGCGGGCTGATCCGCCAACCCGCGGATGAAAACCGATTAAACCTATGACCCAATGCGAATTAATCCATGTGGCCCGCGGTTTTTGACCTATTTTGACTGCTCTAATTCCCATGAATCGTCTAATTTTAGAATTTTAAAACACAAAATTCTATTTTGTAAATCATAATTAATACGATGGGTATATTTATAAACAATTTTATATTTTCTCTACAATTCGTTATTATGAATATTTATAAGTAATACTACACGATTCGTTCTACTAAAAAACACACACAATATTAAACGCAACGTATGTAAACCAATATTCTCCCGCGGTGGACCGCGGGTCCGATCCTAGTTAACAAGTATAATGAAAGTTTACGATATGTCACGGTTCATTTTCATTACAAACACTTAAAAAATGGAAGGTCTTTCATTTTTCAAATTTAAATTTATATCGATTAATTGAACCGGCATATTATACTCTATTGAATGTATTAAGATCCCATAAAAGTAATTTATATTTCTTATTTCCGGAGATACGAATAAAATGCAATAAGAATACACTGTTTCGCGGAATACCATTGTGTGAATGAACTTTTACATTCACAATTAGATCAAATTATCTCGAAATAATTCAAAATATTTATTAAGAAACTATATATCGTTATATAAAAAGTATTGCAAATAGTATTTTCTGATTTAATATTACTAACTAGATCATGACCCGTACTACAACACGAGTTGAATTTTATTTAGCACAAAATTTATATATTTTATATTTTAGAATAAAGTTTTGATATATTATAGTAGTAAGCAAAAAAATATTTTTTTTTTTGTTAGTCCCTATATATAATATTAAAATGAATGTATTTTTCTTTTTACATAATCAATTATGGATAAAGTTTTTAAGATATGCATTCTATAATTTTTTTAGGATATGAAAAGGGAAAATAATATCATTTTTTAAAAATTAATATTGATTGAACAATGAGTTAATTTATGTTAACAACCACAAAATGAGATTGCATATGATTCAATTGGATCAAAAATTAAAATATCATAATTGAATCGCATCTAAAACGTAGACAATTTTGCATTAATTAAGGAAGTTAACTATTATTTTGAATTAATTTAGAAAATTTCTTTTTCAATTTGTCAATCTTTAGTTGTTGAAATATAGATTTGTTTGAGCTAATCATGGACTTTAGCAATTTGACCAAATTAATTAAATCCATTAAGGATAAACAAGTCAATTAACACAAGATCCATTTGTTATTTTTGGGGGTAACAGATCTTATAAACAGGTAAATTTTGATTTCCTAATTGAAAATACATTTTGATCATCGAATATATTAAGAACATATTTTTATCTTAATTGGTTTATTTTATTAGTACAAATATATATTGGTCAAAAATCAAAATATCATAATAAATCGTATCTAAAACGTGGATTATTTTGAATTAATTAAGGAAGTTAGCTATTATTTTGAATTAATTTAGGAATTTTTTTTTCAATTTGTAATTCTTTAGTTGTTGAGATAGAGATTTGTTTGAGCTAATCACTGAATTTAGTAGGCCTGGCGTTCGGATATTCGGGTCGGGTTCAGGTCCGGTTTTACGGATTCGGGTTTTTTGGGTTTAGAAAACTAAGACCCGTTCGGGTATTTTAAAACTTCGTGTTCGGGTCGGGTTCGGGTCGGGTATTTCGGGTTCGGATTCGGATTTACCCGAAGTATCCAAATATTAAAAAATTTGTATCAATTTGTATCCGATTCTATGCAAAGTATTGATAAATACTCGAAAAATCTATAACCCCAGTATTTTTTACCCGAATCTAGCCAAAAGTAGCTAAAACACCCGAAAATATCTTAACATCCGAATAATTTAGGCGCTTATGTTATTACAAGTATAAATATTACTATTATATTATAACTATGTACTTATATTTCGGGTATGTTCGGGTTCGGGTTCGGGTTCGGGTTCGGGTATTTGTAATTTTTTATATTTTTAATATTTATGATATTCTTTAAAATATTTAATTAAACTATTTTTAAATATTTTAAATTAAAATATTTAAACTATTTTTAAATGTTCCAAATTAAAATATTTAAAATTTTCATCACAATATATAAAATTATGAATTTCAAAAAAGAATTATATGAAATTAAATATAAATATTCAAATAGTTATAAGGATCATAACTCATTTCATTATATAATACATTATATTTTTAACCCGCCACCTATTATAAATGTTTTAAATATATTTGTTTTTAAAAGATCAAATTATAGTATTTATAATTCTAAATTTTTGATATATCAAGTAAAACTATTTTAAAATGTTCTAAACTAAAATATTTAAAAAGTTTATTGTAGTATGTAAAATTACACATTTCAAAAAAATATATGTATAAAATTGAATATAAATATTCAAATGTTGACCGTTACTCCGTCGGAAAATTTGTTGAAGTTATTTTTGTTTAAAATAAGTATATTACTCAAGTCTAAATTTTTAACCCGTTTTCAAAAATTCTTCATAGATTGAACAATATATATTCGTTTTTAAAAATTCAAATCATGGCATATGCGGAAAAAAACCCAACTTTTTTATATGGATGATTTATTTGTTTCACAAAAATAGAATAATATAAATATGAGAAGTGAAATATAATGATTAATAATAAATTAATATGGTAAGTTAGATATCAAATCTTATCAGTTTATTTTGACTGATCATTCTTTTCTAAAAATAATTAATAATGTATTTTTCGTTTTTCGTTTTGCATAAATTAGTATTTGACTTGTTTATTTTTAATGAGATGAATTAATATTATTCTTTAAAATTTTATCTTCAGTGACATTGTAATGTAATAACTTCCAAAACGCAAGATTATTTACTATTAAGTATTCCCCAAATAATAGTATAAGATACATTATATTAGAAAAATAAACACAAACTTTATACCTATGATTGTTTTAAATGAGGTAAAAACTCATATTAATAATCTATATAAATGGCCACAACTTGGAATATCACTACTGGGGAGAGGAACCTTAGCCGCCTCCACTCATTTAATTTGGACTGAATTAGATGTTGCTTTTGGGTAAAATATATTTAAGTTTTGATCCTTTTTAAAATTATATAATCTTAATTTATGGATTGTTTCTTTTATGGAAAGAAATAAAATGACATTTTTTCCAATCGATACTAAATTAGTTGCGTACTTTTTTTATTATTGTTGTTTTCGTTTTGGTTAAGACATGTTTTGGTAAAAAGGTGTATCGCTAAACCTTGTCCTAAATGAAATATTTTTTTATCATAATTCAAATGTAACAGGGAGAGATGCACCGTGAAATCGTTATTTGTGAGAGCTGTTCATCGTAATCGTATATGCTTTAAACGTTATTATATGAAAATATTTATGATGACGTGGAAGTTTGAATATCAAGAAGTAGTAAAATATAGGCTGTTCCACTGACCGGAGATTGGTCATATTAATAGCTTGTGTTAGGAGTTAGGACAGTGATAGATGTAATTAACGTGACTCCTGATTGAAAAAAAAAAATTAACGTGACTCCAAGGAGATATTTATACGTTTTAAAATAAAAATGAGAAATATCCTATATTAACACTAAAATATCCTATATCTTCAAAACTTTCAAAGTATTTTGTCTATGTCAACATGCTGCTGTAATGGCTATAGATTAGGTTGACCCGAAAATGGTATTTTTAGCTAATCATTTATTCCTAGCAGTTTTTAAGAAAGCGCTAGGCGCTAAGTGGACGGTTACCCAGTGCCTAGCGTATAGAACGCCTAATCGGGGCCTATGCGATTTTTTAGGCGGTTTAGACGTTTATAATCTAAAACATTATAAATATGATAATATATATAAAAGTTATATAAAATATTTATATAAAACTAAAAATTATGAAATTATAAACAAAAACTAGATAAAACATTTATTTATATTTATATTAAACAGTATATGAATATTTATAATTATATATATATATATATATATATATATATAAATAAAACTCTAATTGAAATTGAAAAAATACATTAAACAAGATCTATGTAATTTTAGGCGGTCAAGGCGATTATCTAGACGTCGCATGAGAGCCTAGCGTCTAGTCGGGGCCTAGGCGACTGCCTAGACCGAGTTTTAGAACACTGATTCCTAGTAACGTGAATGGTAATAACTCAATTTTTTTAACACCAAATAAACGTTAATATTATTATGTTTCAAAAGAGAAATCAATTACAAATCAACAATTCTCGTACAAGAATCATCGTGTATGACAAATTAATATTGAAACAAATGATAATAGTTTTTTCAAAACCATATTATATAAGGCGTATAGAATCTCAAAGACTTGTGTTGAGCAACTCTCTGTAATCTTTACGAATTCCCCACAAAATCTCACTGCATTTTTTCATGCTTGGTCTCGAACGTCTATGAGGAGCTAGACATTGAAACGCCATCTCCAAAACCTTCTCTAATGCTAAGTTGTTCGCTGGATTTTGTTCTAGCTTCGGGTCCAATACCGATATCGTATCTCCACTCGTGAACTTCTTGATCGCCTGATTAAATCACGACCATTAATTAAACGAACAAAAACATGAGTCATACTATACTTATAGAAGCTATGATAGTAATTAGAGTTACCCATCTAATGGTGATGCGTTCTTTTGGTCCTCTGCTAAGCTCAATGGGACGCCGACCTGTGAGAAGCTCGACGAGCAGCACACCAAAGGAGTAGACGTCGCTTTTCTCTGTGAGTTGATACGTGGTTAAGTACTCTGGGTCTAAGTAACCAGCGGTTCCTTTGACTTGTGTTGAGATATGGGTGGCTCCTGATTCGGTATCTGGAGCTAATCTTGCGAAACCGAAATCAGCAACCTTGGCTCTGAAATTGTCAGTAAGGAGAATGTTTGAAGATTTGATGTCTCGGTGGATGATAGGTGGCTCTACAAGACATCCAAAACAAATGAGACAAAGAACAAGTACAATTGCCATAGAAGAGAGACTAAAAGAAAAAGAAGGAATCTAGCTAGGTTTACAATGGACTTACGTGTATACATGTGAAGATAGGTTATGGCATGAGCTACATCAGTTGCGATATCTAGCCGAGTCGCCATGTCGAGAGCCTTTCCTTCCTTGCCTACAAACAGATTCCATTAAAGAACATTGATTGATTTGCTTGAAATTAATATATATAGTAGAATGTATGTACTCACAATCCAAGTGATCTCTAAGAGTTCCATTGGCGACATACTCGACAATGAGAATCTTCTCGTCGTCGTGAACCACATATCCGTAGTACTTAACCAAACTCAAATGCGTAACTTGAGCCAAGGTCTGAATCTCACTCAGAAACTCTGCACCTTGACGGTCGTCATGCATACTCTGCATCAAGTGAAAACAATAAGCAAAATGGTTGAAGTAGCTTGTATGTAGAATTTCTTCAAACCTTTTTGGCACGTTTGACAGCAAAGGTTTTGCCATCTCGGAGTTTGACCTTGTAAACAGTGCCAAAACCGCCTTGACCGATTCTGAAGGATGGAGAGAAGTTCTTGGTAGCGTCGTAGATTTCATCGAAGGTGAACTCTGTTTCGCTTGCATTTCCATAATTCCTCTGTACACTTCCTGTCGAGCTACGTCTACTACGGATATTATTGTCTGTGCACTCACATAAAGACCGACCAAATAAAAATCATCATCAACTACTGTTTCCTCTAGAATCCACTGATCAATCGGTGAAATCCAGAAATTGAAGAGTTATCAGAGGGACTGTACCGGAAGCTGACTTTGAATGGTCGATATCGGGATCGGGAGGAGTGAAGCAGCTGATGAAGATACCGGAGATCCGGCGAGCGATGGAGATGGATTTGTCGGTGGGTGTACGGGCAGGGGTAGGGAAGGAACGATCGGTGAAAGTAGTGTTACTGTAATTAGAAGATGTGGTCGCAGGAGAAGATCCGCCGGCGTAGCTATGTCTCCGACGACTTGGCATCGGATATATTTCGTGGAGCAATGACGAACACGGAAGGAAGCAAGAGTCGGAGAGACTGACTTTACAATTTCAACTCCTTTTTTCTTCGACGACTGTTTTTGTGTATTTATTGACGCCAGCTATACAACTTGACGTTGTCTAATTAACTACTCCCTCCGTTTCGCTTTTACTTGTTTTAGAATTCAAATTTTGTTTTATAATAGTTGTCGTTTTAGATTTTCGATGCAAATGTTTGGTGAAAATTACAGTTTTATCCCTACTATTTTAATGTTTCGGCTAATGAAATTTTTTATAAAATATATTAATAAAAGGTAAAACTGAAAATTTAATGTTTTTCTTAATTTATATGAGAAAACCTTAAACGACAACTAAAACGAAACGGATGGAGTATTTTAAACCCACCCGACAAGCTAAGAAGATAATTTATGCGTATAATTATTCCTCTGATTATTTGTAATAAGTTTCATATTCCTTTGATTTAATTTCGATAATTGTTAATTTTGACAACAAAAAAAAAGGGAAAATTCCTAAAAAAAACCCCAACTATTTAATATTTGCCAGAAAAAAACCTGAACTTTTTTCGATGCTGGAAAAAAACCCCAACTAATTTACCGCAGACAAAAAAAACACGAACTATTTTGTTTTTCCAATTTCTTCTCGTCTCCGTTACGGGCGTTAAAGCCGTTGTTGACGCCGTTACTATTTTTTGGGAAAATTCTTGAAAAATACCCAAATTATTTAAGTTTGCGAGAAAAATACCCGAATTATTAGTTCAATGCCAGACGTAATCTATCTACCGGAATGATTTGAAATTTATCAATATCTATCTGTTAGCGGATTCTTCAGCCGCCACCATATTAAATACCAGACGGGTCTATTAATGCAATAATCAAAATCGCATTTAATTTGTATTTTTTTTCTTCTTTAGAACAAAGATACCAAAAAAAATATACCACTAGATTTCATTCCCTCATCTGATGATATATATATATATATATACGTTCTATTATAAGAAGTCATATTAGAGGAAATAATGAAATGGTAGATGAAATTACTTTGATTATAAGTCAATCAATAGAGGTTAACAAGGAAGATTCATAGGCAGTTAAATCTTACCATCAATCAACATATTCAATAGCCTCTGAAAATGACAGAGGGTTTGTTGACATTTTAACACCTTCTTTATAATGGGCCATGGTCTAAAAATTTTAAAGCCCATGTTTCAAAACAAGAGCCCAATGATTAGCCCGTCTCTTTAACCGACGTCGGACTAGTTGTTCCGATTAAATAATAATATTTAAAGGTATTTAATTAGGCAAACTAATCAAGTGGGGTTACAGTATAATTAGACTAGAGAAATTAGAGAGAGCTCGCTCTTTGTCGAAACTCGAAACCCTCCCTCTCCACCATTTCTTCTTCTCACTTTTCATCACCGGAGAAGGACCGCATAATCTTAATCTCCGGCGACATCTCAGGTTATCTTCGTTATTTCTTTCATCGGTTTTCGTTTTTTTTAGTCTTTTCCGCGTCTTCAATTTTAGGGTTCACGTATTTTTGTAGTTTTTGATTTAGATGTGCTTACTCTGTTTATGTGTTAGGGATTTGGCTGAGAATCGTGTTCATGTTATATATATATATATATATATATTTTTTTTTTTTTCTGTTCTCTTTATTTTTTGTTTTGTTGCTGTTTTGGGTATATATGCGATCGATCTTGTGATAGAATTACGTATCAGTGGTGATGTTACCAATTTTGAAGATTATTGTCTTGTATTTGATTAAAAGTTGGCTGAAATGTGAAAAAGTTTTTGCTCTTTTCGTTGCAACTTGACTCAATCCTAAAGGTTATTTTCAGAATACATTCTTGTAAAATTCAAGTTGCAGCTATTGGGGGGACACTACACAGAGCATAAGGAACTTTCCCATACCTTTGTGTTTCTTATGGATAACTTTGGCATCTAATAAACTTTTCTCTGTCATTTTCCTTACTAACACTGTGTAATAATCACTTGTTATTGGGGTTTCTTAAGTCTACTTTGATTAATCTTGTTGCATTCAAGAAATCGTTGTTCTGACTCATAATGTTCTTCTCACAATTCACTCTTCTTTTCCTGCAGTGCATCTGTAAAATGCTTCAAGGACTGTTGTTTGCAACTCTTGCTTAAATATTATAGTTGGTGCAAAATGGGAGGTTGCTGTAGTTCTTCGAGGAAGTCGCATCTTGTTGGAACACCTGTTTACTATTATGTCAGTAATCCTTTTCACCATCTTCCATTTGTGTTGCTTTGCACAACTGACTATCTACAGATTATGAATTTAGATTTTTTTTTGTAACAATCTCGCTTGCGAGGTCAATAGTAGACTACTAGAGGTTGTGGTTAAGCTGCTATGTTTGTGAAAAAAGTCTCCTGAATCTTTTACAGTTATTTGATTGTAACACTCTACACTCTCATGTCAAAAGGAACAGAGTTTCTATTTACTAAAGTTATTTTGTTACGCAGTGTCCAGAATCTTTTGAAGAGCTCGGGCCTTCAGGAGCCCGGGCTGGTGTGGGATCAGCATTCACCACAGGCCTCTTGGTTGATATAGGTTTGGATTTCTCCATACCTGACACCTTTTGTGCTCCTGCTCCTCTTCCATATGATTTGCTTTTGGGACGACCACAATGCACAGATTCTGAGTCCATCAAAGGAAGGATGAGTGGAAGCAGTTTTGAAACGCTAGCGACATGTGAAGATCTTGGGGAACCAGACTGTAAAACTCAAGCCAGTTCAGTCATTCTTTCACCGAGGCAATCAGATTTCTCTAAACAGAAAGGATTGAAGATATTGGTAGATGAAGAGGAGGACTGCTGTCCTATTTGCTTTGAAGGTAAGAAATCAAGATCGTTAAATAAAAAATCTCTTTAACTCTTGTTTTATTAGAGCTAAACAGAGTCGTGGATTGCACTATGCAGATTATGATGTTGAGAATCCAAGACTAACGACAAACTGTGAGCACGATTTTCACCTCTCTTGTCTTCTGGGGTGGATTGAAAGAAGCGATAGATGCCCAATATGTGATAAGGTGTGTTTCCCGCTTGAGCTTTCTTTGGCAGATCGATTGATTTCAAAACAATCGTCTTGATGATCAAAGAATTGCACTTTACTGTTGTTCGCTTATGGATTCAGGAATTAAAGTTGGGAAATTCGTAGTTAGATCTACCATTGATGGTTGCGTAGATAGGGTAAATAAATGCACAATTTGGCAACTAACTAACATTCTGTTTTTTTTTACACAGGAAGTTGTGTTTGATGATTGTTTGAACTAGCATCATCACTATCCCCTGGCTTGAAAGTTTGAAGGTGTGGCGCTTTGTTTGGTTAGTCTACTACATAATTAGCATATATCTATTTTGTTTCTTCCTCGCACATAAGTGTTGGGTCTCCACATTTTCCACTTAGTTTTGTCGAATTGGTTATGTTCCTGCCGTTGTGCGATCATATAGAAGTACAGAACAATTGTAAATATTACCTAGCTTCTTCTGGGTGGTTCGTGTGTGATCTCGGGGTGTGATAGAAGGACCACCGTTTCAGTATTTTAATTGTTTGCATCTCCAAATTTATGTTCACTCTTGTCTTGATCCATGATTCTATCTTAAGCATGAAGCATGAGTGGGTAAATTCCCTGATCTGGGAATCATAATAACTCTCATTTGTTATTTTTACCAAACATTTTATTATGTTGTTTTCATAGAACACCATTAAAAAATGATCATTATTAGCGTTTACATGACTAAATGAATAAGCATGGGTTTTGTTTGCTTGTTTATAGACTGTCTAGTGTTCGTTCATGAGAGTAGTATTTGAATATATCCTTGTTGTTTAAAGAAAAAAGAGATTCAATTAGATTTGGTCCATTTGGATATAGAATAATTCCATAGTCTAAAAGGAAAATGAATATTTACGGGAAAAAAAATAGTATATTCCAAATACAAAAATTGATCCACAGACGACTAGTCTTGTCGTGTGTACGATATATATTAAAAAAAATGATTCTTTGATAACCAACCCCTTTTGTCTGCTGCATAAAAATAATTAATTAGAGAGAATCAAAAAAGAAGAAGTTAGGAATCGTCATTTAAGAAGAAGAGAAAAAGATGTCATTGCTTTGACTTCTAGACACTTATGTCTGCCACCTCCCTTTCTCCATTCTTCTTAATTCCTATTCTGCCCTTCTCTTTATTAATAACTAGATAAAGATCCGTCCAAAATCAAATTTTTTTAAAAAATTAATTAATAACGTTGTAAATAGAAATTTTTTTTCAAAAGTGAAAACAATATTTATTTTTTCACTGTCGTTTTGTTTCTTTAATCACTAAAATTATTAATTCAAAATTATTTCGAATGAAAGATATATCACATAACAATAATTCATGATATACTTATATGAAGAACAAAAATTAAAAATATTCATCATAAAGTTGGTGAATAAAACCAAAGTGGTGTTTAATTAGACACGTTAAAAATATAAACAAGATAAATCGACTAAATTCTTTTGCCTTCGAAGCTAACATTGTGGGTTCGATTCATATATACTCGATTGCAATAACTTTATGATCAATCAATAAAAATTAATAAATTCAAAAAGTTATAAGCACAATGATATATGAATCTTTAATAATTCAAATATGAAAATAGAAATTGAAATAAACTATTTTGAAATAGTATAATTAAATTCAAAATATCAAACTATGTTTCTTACATATTATAAAAAAACAATATAACACTTTACTTAAAATCATCATATATTTCTAATTAGAAAATAATATTGATATAAATAATGTAAATTTGTAATTTAAATCATGACACATGTCGCTATCTAAAATCATTAGAACTATGATATATTATAAATCTTATATAATTTAAAATGAACGTAGAAACCAAAATAAATAATTTAAAGATACACAGTTAAACTAAAAATAAAAAATTATAAACACGATGATATATGAATATTTGATAATTTAAATATGAAAAGAAAAATTGAAATAAACAATCTAACTATACTATAATCATAATTGAAGACAAACAAAAAACACAGTTAAGTAAAAAAATATTACAAAAAAGAAAAAAAAATTGATCTCACATATTTCTAATTGGAAAAATAAATTCAAATAAATAATATGAGGATTAGTTTAATTAAATCATCACATATTTCTAATTGGAAAAGAAATTGAGATAAATAATATCAAATTTTAAATTAATATATAATAACATATGTTTCCTTTTTTTTAATAAATTTGCCAGATTTGTTTCTTGTTTAATTGAAATATAAAAAACGTATAATTTCCTTATTATCATCTTTTGACAGTTTTTAAATTTTTTTTATAGAAATATGAATTATTTACAATTATTTTTATAATTATCTTTTATATTTTTAAAATTATTTAAATTTGTAATTACTTTCAATTATCTTTATTTTATTTTTAAAGGAAATTTTTGTTATACACGTATCAAAATCTAGGATCGATAGATTTGCCACATGTCACGATCATATGAGTTATTGACTTTGAAAACTATACTTTATATAATAAGATAGACCTCCGTTGTTTTTACCAAAAAATAGAAATATGATTTGAACAAAAACATTTGATTACTTAAATAATTCTTAAAAGACTGTCTTATAACTAATTCAAATGTTAAAAAGTTCTGGTTCAGGAGTTGGTGGTGGTGTCTTTGTTTCTCTCTCGAGAAGTCAGCCGCCGAGAAAAATTTCTGGTTCTGTGGCCGGATCGCGGTGGCTCTCCTAGCACCGGATCCGGTCACATCGTCTCTGCTTTAGTTTAGCTTTTTGTTCTCAGTTTGTTGCGGCTCTGATTGAAGAATAGAGAAGGCGAGATGGGTTTCTAGGTTGCGGTGGTTCGATTGCGATGGAGCTTTTGGCTTGAGGATGAGTTGGGTGGTGCTTTAGATTGGCGATTCCTCTCCTCGTCACGGCATGGACTTCAATTTTGTCTCTTCCCAAATCTGGTTTTCTCGAGAACGAAATCGACTTTGTGGAGGGATAGCGATGGTTATCAAGGTGGTGATTAGGAGAGGCATGGTTCTCGAATCTGGAATTGGTGGCGGAAGATCTCTGCTTCAGGAGTTGGTGGTGGTGTCTTTGGGTTGTGGCTTTCTGCAGCGGATGATAGGTTGTGGCTTTGTCAGCTTTTGGCTGCCGGTGGTTGCAAGGTGACAGAGGCTTTTCGTTTCTGGTCCTTGTCGGGTTTACGCTTATCTCGCGTTTCTCTTTTCGGATGTTAATAGTTGTATGGTTGTGTTTGGCTTGTGGTAGTTGTTGTTGGTGGGTTTAGTTGGCTTTTGTCTTTGGACTAGTTGGGGTCTTGGTTTTGCTCTCTGTTATCTCATGAAAGCTCCGGGGATTGGTCGTGTTTGGCTAGGTTTTGGATAGCTTTCGTTTTATCCCTTCTTTGTTCGTTGAATCTTTTAAGTTTGTCTCTTTCCACCGCCTCTAGTTTAGAATAATAAGTAGGTTTTCTCTCGTGGTCTGTTCCTTGTCTGTTCTTGTAAGACTAACCTTTTGTGGGGATGCAAAGTTCTAGATTTAGACTTGTTCGGTAGAAGACTAGGTGGTTAAGATTAAGATTCGCGATTGTGGCTTTCTTTTCTTGGGATATTCGTTTTTAGTTGGGTTATTTCTTCGCGGTTTCCTCTATCCTTGGTTCTACTCCGTTTGCGGTTTTAGTTCTTCTAGTCTGCGCCTTTTGAGCTCTTAGTTCCGCGTCTATTGTTCTTCTCCGACTTTCCCGATGATTTCGAGAGCTTAACTTTTTGACTTTAGTCCTATCTTATGTTTCCCGTGTATCGGGCTTTAGCTTCCGGGGATATCTTTGTTTTCCGCCGGCTTTTGTATTTCAAAACCGTATTCCAAAAACGCATTCCACCCTTGTATACGTCCTTTGTATTATATAATGAAATCTTTCAGTAAAAAAAAAAAAAAAAAAAAAAACTAATTCAAATGAACATGTATATTGTATTGTTAGCGATCAAAGCTTTGTAGATAAAGCAATGAAGATTTTGTTTTTGTGGACCTGCCGGTGGCTTTTTTAATAGGTGGATGATAGGGGGGGGGGGGGGGGGTTATATAGTAACTTTGGCATAGTTCCAAAACCTTATTTGAGTGAATTTACTTTTTGGAGATCATTTGTCACAGCTTTTACAGATTTATCTTGCAAAAATTCTCTCCACATTTCAAAGAAAGAGGAGAGCTTTTGTTTTTGGAGGTTTCTTTCCAATGGCTATCAGTATCACCACCGAGAAAATATCATCAACAACACCAACCAAACACTAACCCACCCGAGAACAAGAACAAGACCCAATGCCATCATGTATTACTTATCTTCATCTTCTTCTTCTTCTTCTCCTCTTCCTTCTTCCTCCACTATCTTCTTCTGTGGATAACAACAAAGTTATCATCAAAGGAAACCATACGATTCTCAGCTTCAAAGCTATTTTCCGGCTTGGTTTCTTCAGCACCACCAATGGTTCCTCCAATTGGTATTTGGGTATCTCTTATGCTTCCATGCCTACTCCCACCCACGTTTGGGTCGCCAATCGAATCCGACCCGTTTCTGATCCTGACTCTTCCACTCTCGAGCTCACCTCCACGGGACACCTAATCGTCAGAAACTCCCGTGACGGCGTCGTTTGGCGGACGGATAACAAAGAACCCGGAACCGATTTCCGGTTCTCTGAAACCGGGAATCTGATTTTGATCAACGACGACGGATCTCCGGTTTGGCAGAGCTTTGATAATCCGACCGACACGTGGCTTCCGGGGATGAATGTCACCGGTCTAACGGCTATGACTTCGTGGCGGACTCTGTTCGATCCTTCGCCGGGATTTTACTCCCTGAGACTGAGTCCAGGCTTCAACGAGTTCCAGCTTGTTTACAAAGGAGCCACACCGTATTGGTCCACCGGAAATTGGACCGGAGAAGCCTTCGTCGGCGTTCCGGAGATGACCATTCCGTACATCTACAGGTTCCATTTCGTTAACCCTTACACTCCCGCGGCGTCGTTTTGGTACATCGTCCCACCGTTGGACGCCGTTTCCGAGCCACGCCTGACGCGGTTCATGGTCGGCGCCAACGGCCAGCTGAAGCAGTACACTTGGGACCCACAGACGCAGAGCTGGAACATGTTCTGGCTGCAGCCGGAGGGTCCGTGCCGCGTTTACAGTCTCTGTGGTCAATTAGGGTTTTGCAGCAGCGAATTGCTCAAGCCCTGTGCCTGCATCCGCGGTTTCCGGCCTAAGAACGACGACGCGTGGAGATCTGATGATTACAGCGACGGATGCCGCCGTGAAAATGGTGAATCCGGCGAAATGAGTGATACTTTTGAAGCGGTTGGTGATCTAAGGTACGACGGTGATGTGAAGATGTCGCGGTTGCAGGTAAGCAAGAGCTCTTGCGCCAAAACCTGCTTGGGAAACTCTTCTTGTGTTGGTTTTTATCATAACGAGAACTCGAATCTCTGCAAAATTCTACTCGAGTCGCCGATAAACCTGAAGAATTCGAGCTCCTGGACTGGAATTAGTAACGACGTATTGTATATCAGAGAACCAAAAAAAGGGAATTCAAAGGGAAACATCTCTAAATCCATAATTATATTGTGCAGCGTTGTTGGGTCAATCTCAGTTCTTGGGATTACATTGTTGGTGCCATTGATTCTGTTGAAGAGGAGTCGGAAGAGGAAGAAGACGAGGAAACAAGACGAAGATGGGTTTGCTGTGTTGAATTTAAAGGTCTTTTCTTTCAAGGAGCTTCAAGCAGCTACCAATGGGTTCTCGGATAAGGTTGGACACGGTGGTTTTGGGGCAGTTTTCAAAGGAACATTACCGGGTTCTTCTACCTTTGTGGCCGTGAAACGCTTAGAAAGACCTGGAAGCGGGGAGAGCGAGTTCCGGGCAGAGGTATGCACCATTGGCAACATTCAACATGTCAATCTCGTTAGGCTTCGGGGTTTCTGTTCAGAGAATCTTCACAGACTTCTCGTATACGATTACATGCCACAAGGATCCCTGAGCTCCTATTTGTCTAGAACAAGCCCCAAATTGCTAAACTGGGAGACCCGTTTTAGGATCGCGTTAGGTACTGCCAAAGGGATTGCGTACTTGCATGAAGGATGCAGGGACTGTATTATTCACTGTGATATCAAGCCGGAGAACATTCTTTTGGACAGCGATTACAACGCCAAAGTATCTGATTTTGGCTTGGCTAAGCTCCTTGGCCGTGACTTCAGCAGAGTTCTAGCCACAATGAGAGGGACATGGGGCTACGTGGCTCCTGAATGGATATCAGGTTTGCCCATCACAACAAAAGCTGATGTGTATAGCTTTGGAATGACATTGCTGGAGCTGATCGGTGGTCGAAGAAATGTCATTGTTAATAGTGATACACTGGGAGAGAAAGATACAGAACCAGAGAAATGGTATTTAAAGAATGTCTTTTACTTCGAATCAATTGTGAGGGAGAAAAAACAAATATACATTGAATCAATGTTTCCCTTTTCAGGTTCTTTCCGCCATGGGCAGCCCGTGAAATCATACAAGGAAATGTGGACTCTGTGGTTGATTCTAGACTCAACCGAGAATATAACATGGAAGAGGTGACGAGGATGGCAACGGTAGCGATATGGTGCATACAAGACAATGAAGAGATAAGGCCAGCGATGGGAACGGTAGTGAAGATGCTTGAAGGAGTTGTGGAGGTGACGGTTCCTCCACCGCCTAAATTGATACAAGCTCTTGTCTCCGGCGATTCATACAGAGGAGTGAGCGGCACAACCTGTAGCGAAAGTCGTGGCTGTTCGGATCTCAACACTGGATTGTCTAGCCCTGGCTCACGGTCGTCTTTTGGTAGACCTTCTCCTTGATCAATTTTAAGATGATTTGGTCAAAACCGGGCCTTAAATGCTTTAAGTTTTGCCCTCTAAGAGGGTTTAATTAGTTTAAACTGTATTTGTTGGGTTGTATGAGATTGAAGCCTTAATTTCTCATTTCCCATTCAAAAAGGGATGAGTGTTAGTCAAGCATACATGACCACCATAGATTTAACACAGTCATTACTAATCGTACAGTATTTCCAGATATAATCAAAGTTCAGTGAATCCAGTCATGAATCATTGTCAAATGTAAACTTTTTACTCGGCATCTCAATCTTAATGGACCCATTAACCCAGCTACTACTTGACTTAATCGACCGTTAACAGTTTAAACCATGGATTATGTCTTTATCTTTAGTTTGAAAGTTTTTGTCACGTTGATAATCTTCTAATGGCATATATGTAAATTCTTATAGAATGTATTCCTTTTCTTTTTTTGTTTTTTGAATGTATTCTATGAGAATCATTACGTGAATCAATAAACCAATGTCGGTACTTGTAATTATATTAACGGTCACAATAAACTCAAAATCTTTTTTTTTTTTAATGGAATGCTAGATTCTCTCTTCTTCTTCTCCGCGGCTAACCTAAATCTTAGGCAAACCAGAAACAAAAATTACAAGAACAAACATAAAAAAGAATCTGTTGTCTTGTTTGCTTTCAATCCTCATGTCTCTAATCCTCCCCACGTAGAGAAAAATAAAAAATAAGATAAAGATTGCCACAACCGGAGAAAATGGAAATCCCGGTTCGAGAGGAGAGAAGATCCTCCTCATCCTCTGCCGGACCATTACCACAAACCATCGCCTTAGCAGCTGATGACGCCATCGATAGCGGTCCTTCCTCTCCGCTTCTCGTCAAAGTCTCTGTCTTCGAAACAGAGCATGAGACGACAAAGCTTCATCACGCGCCGTCAACTCTGCTCGGAGAAACCACCGGAGACGCCGATTTTCCTCCGATTCAAAGCTTTAGAGATGCTAAACTTGTCTGTGTGATCGAAACGTCCAAGCTTTGGGAAATTGCTGCACCAATAGCTTTCAATATTCTTTGCAATTACGGTGTCAACTCCTTCACAAGCATCTTCGTCGGCCATATCGGCGATCTTGAGCTCTCCGCCGTCGCCATCGCTCTCTCCGTCGTCTCCAATTTCTCCTTTGGTTTCTTGGTGAATAAGTAACCTTATCCTCTGCTTTTTCCTCTGTTTTTTTGCGTTTTCTCTAACTTCAAGGAAAAACTGCAGCTGGGAATGGCGAGTGCGTTGGAAACACTATGCGGGCAGGCGTTTGGAGCGGGACAAATGGATATGTTAGGCGTTTACATGCAGCGTTCATGGCTTATCCTCCTGGGAACTTCCGTCTGCTTGCTTCCACTATACATCTACGCAACTCCTCTTCTCATTTTACTAGGCCAAGAACCGGAAATTGCAGAGATCTCTGGCAGATTTACAACACAAATCATCCCTCAAATGTTTGCGCTCGCCATCAATTTCCCAACTCAGAAGTTTCTCCAGTCACAGAGCAAAGTCGGGATCATGGCCTGGATCGGTTTCTTCGCTTTGACTCTTCACATTTTCATCCTCTACCTCTTTATAAACGTTTTCAAGTGGGGGCTAAACGGTGCAGCGGCTGCGTTTGATGTCTCGGCTTGGGGAATCGCGATCGCGCAGGTTGTTTATGTTGTAGGTTGGTGTAAAGACGGTTGGCGAGGGCTTTCTTGGCTAGCGTTTAAAGACGTTTGGCCGTTTCTGAAACTGTCTTTTGCGTCTGCGGTTATGCTTTGTCTTGAGATATGGTACTTCATGACGATCATTGTCTTAACCGGACATCTTGAAGACCCTGTCATAGCCGTTGGATCTCTCTCAATCTGGTTAACCGTTAGATCCCTTCACTATCTCAAAGATTTACATTTTTCTGATATCGGATAACACTTTTCTTTCTCTCAGTATGAACATTAATGGATGGGAAGGAATGTTGTTCATAGGAATCAATGCAGCTATAAGGTTAGAAAGCTAAAGCAATCTTTGTTTTTCTAAAAGAAGACGACAGGCTTATTTATATATATGTGCGATATGTTTCTTCAGTGTTAGAGTGTCGAATGAGCTAGGATCGGGACATCCACGAGCTGCAAAATACTCGGTGATCGTAACAGTGATAGAGTCTCTAATCATTGGAGTAGTGTGTGCAATTGTAATTCTCATAACAAGAGATGAGTTTGCAGTAATTTTTACGGAGAGCCAAGAGATGAGAAAGGCAGTAGCTGATCTTGCGTACCTTCTCGGTATAACGATGATTCTCAACAGTTTACAACCGGTTATATCAGGTAATTTTTATTTAAAGATTTATTATATATGTATAGTAAGAAGAAAGCTGGAATTTTTTGGTGAATGAAGTGAAGATGTTGTGGAGTGAGCAGGTGTTGCAGTAGGAGGAGGATGGCAAGCACCGGTGGCTTATATCAACTTGTTTTGTTACTACGCTTTTGGATTACCTCTAGGGTTTTTGCTAGGCTATAAAACAAGACTTGGCGTACAGGTAAAAAAAAAGCATACACACACTCTCCTAACCACCGGTCTACTTTTTTGGTTTGATGCGGTTATGATGAAATTATTTTGTACTATGGTTTAATAAAAATATCAGGGGATATGGATTGGTATGATATGTGGGACTAGTCTTCAGACTCTCATCCTTTTGTACATGATATACATAACCAATTGGAACAAAGAGGTATTTTACAATCACACAAATGAAGAAAATGATATAAATGTTTTACTGTTTACTCTCTTTTTCCCCCTTTTACATTTTAGGTGGAACAAGCTTCGGAGAGAATGAAACAATGGGGAGCTGGATACGAGGAATTAGAAAAAATAGCAACTTAATTTTTTCCTCCATTGTATATATCAATTTCTTTGACATCGAATTTGTATATATCAAATTTTTAAATTTTCAATACATAAAAAAAAAAAAAATACATAAGTAAATTTACTGTTATCAAATGTTGATGATTTTCTTAATTGAGGAATAAAAGTCAATGACGAGTAAGTCATTCTTTCCTTGTCATAATCATATCCGAAAATCCAATCAAAATTTTTATTATTTTTTACTTGCTTACCCCATTACCCGGTGTCGTCTTGCTTCGAAGAGAACAATTCTTATTAGGGATATAGATATTGTTTAATGGAAATATTAAAAAAAAAATAAGAAGGTTATTGCAACCCCGGCCCCACCCCACCCACCTCATAATCAAATCGTGTGTTGCCGCTCTCTCGAATCGAATTCTTTTTCTCTGCTTGAACTTGAATCGTTCGATTTTGCCTCGTCTTCTTGGGGTCGCGTATCCCCAATTAATTATTTCAGGTACCAAATTTCGATCTATTGTTTTCCGAAAGGCTCTTCCTTTTGCTTCGTGCTTTAAGTTTAATCTCATCAGATTGCTACTAGCTTCTCCTCCCATATAACTCATTCAGAAGAAGTTGACAATCTAAAAGAGCTGATCAACAAATAAAAGTGGAAGGAAACAACAAGAGAGAAAGAGTTCTGAATCTGCTCAAGTATGAGAAAACGTAGCAGGCAGACAGAGGATATGGTAGAAACGGACATGGTTTCACCTCACATTAGCATACGTCATAAATCAACAACGGTAAAACATATCGCCTTGCATCCTTTCAGTTCTAAGCTGGATCTTGAGCATCTTCCTTCACACATTCCAGTGAGTCATCAAAGTTTTGCTTACTAATACTCTTTCTTGTTTTCCCTTTTCAAGGAAACTCTCTTGGTTTCTCAACCACAATGCTGTAAAACAACCGAGGATGGGTCAAGTAATTCTGCTGGTTGTCCATTTCATGCTCTTGGCTAGGAATGAAATTATCAACTAATAAGGAAGGTGAACGAGTCTGCATTATAGCCTCGCATCCATCAAGCGGTAATTTCTTTTGACATAAAGTTATGTCACTCTTATCTTTCTCCGGGTTTTTTTTCAAGTAAAAACATACATTTTCCTGTCATTTAATCGAAAGATGGACCAGTTTACAGAATTTTGATCATCAGCCACCAGAAAGACACCGATTTTGAATCTTTCCCCATGGCTTTTGACCATGGCAGGTTTATCATTCAGCTTAAATTTTGGTAGATAACTCAACTGGTGAAGAATCTGCGCTGCTCTACAAGGTTGTATCGCTGGGGACATTCGAAAGAGTGGCTCCGAAATGGGTGAGAGATGTTATAAAGTTTAGCACAAGTATGAGTCCTGTCTTCTTTGATAGAGTCTCTCGAGTCCTTAAGCCCCGGTTTTGATCGGTATGTACATCTCCCTTCCTTATCTTCGGCCATCGTCTTTAATGGCTGCTTAGTTTGATGTTTCTCAGTAGGTCAAAAAGTAAGAGAAGTTATCATGTATCTATAGAAATATGTGTGTCCCTTTTTAGCTTTGACATTGGTTATAAAGATCTTGTTGTGTCCTTTCCAAACGTATCAAGATGTTGGTTTGTCCTTTGCTCTCGAGACCTTCTCTCCCTTGTAGTTTACATACTCTTTGGTGTATTGTGCATTTTTGTGTGATTCAGCACTTGAATAGCTAGTATATTATAGGCATCATCACAATTGGTTAGTAGACTTACATAGTAATTTCCAAGCCTGATGAAGTGTCGGGATCTTTTGGAATTCGAGACTGGCAAGAACATGGTGTTTAAGAGTTGTTTTAGCTTTCCATCGTCAGGTGGTCATGATCTAAGGAATTTCCACATAGACCTAAGGAACAAAAAAAGTATTATAAATGAAACATAACGTATTTGCTTTGGCATTTTGTTATGTAAAATACTTTATGATGGATCATCGATCTTACAAAACATGACAAGATCAATTAGTTCAAACTTGTTGTTATCAATAAAAGATTCCACATCGCATTCGTATTGAACAACAATCCACATAATAATACATTTAACCTTTTCAAATGATATACATCTAGAAAGAAATAATCCATATCGCATTAAGAAGAAGAAGAAGAAGAAGAAGATGAGAAAGAGCGTTCTTCTACTTCTCTCTTTCTTCCGGAGAAGAGAAAGAGACGTGGGTCTGGGTTATAAACTTATAAAACGTGTGCGACATTTGAAACGACGTCGCTGCGGAAGCAATAACCCAATAAGGAAGGAATAATCTCAAAAAAAATTTCCACATAATAATACATTTTACCATTGTCTAAAACAAATTTTGATTTTCCATTAGAAAAAAAAAACGTCCAAAAAGCCCTGAGGGATCACTCTAAAATAATTAAGAAGAAACCGTATGGGAAGAAATTGATATGGCCCATTCGGCCCATAATCATCTAATACTAGTATCTATCTAATAACACAATTATAAGGCCAATAATCAAAACCTAAACCTACATCATTACGCAGCAGCCGCCTAATTCATCTTGTTTCTTTTTGTCTCCATCTCCCCCTCACAGGCATTAAGTAAGCTAAATGGGATTGTCACAAATCAGAAAGAGTTGGAACTGTGGAGGAAAGGTAAGTCATCGGAGTCTCTATTAGATGGTTGGATTCCTTTGATTCTGTGTTACACTTCTTAATAGGATTTTTTTGGTTCCCTTGTATAAGGTTTGTGCTGCTATGTTACCCTATGAAGAAGCATCCGTGCTCTGTGGTGGAAATTTTCCTGATTATATTCCTAAGGTATTTACCAATGTAGAAACTCCATTTTCATAATTTGCTTGTGGAGATCATTAGAAGTCACATATATATAGACTGTTAATGAGTGTTCTCTTTGTTATGCATAACATCACAAGAAAGTGTTATTCATTCCTGATTATAATCGCAACAATTTTTAACAATCAATAGAATTTCTTTTCGAATATAATTAACTATGAATTTAACTATATAAATTGTATTCATTCCTAATAATATTGTTATTCATTCCTGAGTTTTTGAATTCTTCCATTTTTTTAATTGTTGTTTGTGCTTGGAATATATCTTGAAGCTAACATGATTTGTCTTCCATGCTCCTGTTAAACTTAAACATAGAAAAAAAAATCAATATTTTTAAAGTCATCTTAATAATATATCATTTTTTTACAGTTTCCTAGGACCTGGAGGGGCCTATTCCCCCACTTGAAGCCCATACAAATTCATGCCCTCAATTTTTGCCTCCAGAAACGAAACCAAAGCGAAAACCTTCTATTCACAGACTCTAGCAAAAGTCTAAAACCCTAAGTGGGAGTCGCAGGTTCTAAAACGGCGACAGATAATCACTTGTTTTCCGCCGGAGAATCAGAGAAATGAAGGGGAGATTATCCACATTGTTCCGCCGCAGATATGTGTCTGAGCGACACGAACACGGCCGTGCACGTTACCTTTCGGCGAAAACAGGTAATAATCACACTTTCTTTCTCAGGCGATTGATGATTTCTTTCTCAGTCGATTGATGATTTCTTTCTCAGTCGATTGATGATTTCGGGTCTGTCTGCTCTGATTAGTTTTAGGGAAAATGGGTAGAAAATTGTCAGTAAAATATATAGATATATATTCTCTTAGCATTATGGTTTCTCGTTCTCAAGGACCTAAATATTTTGCTCCATGAGTTCTGCAGATCCAGAAGGGTCCAAGGAACTTCCAAGTGGCGCAACAGAGAAAGCTTTAGTTGTTGGTCCAATTTTACCTCCAAGAAGCTTGTGAGTTTACCTTTTCCTTTGGAATGTTACTAATCCATATAGTAACAACTTTACTACATCCTCTTATCGTGACTATGCTGATAGTTATTGATTCTGGTATTTGAAGGAACAACACTGGTCACAGCACCGCCATTCTTCCTGAATCTGGATCCTCATTTGAAAGGTTTTGCGTCCCATCCTTTTCTTAATTTATGGGCTCCTTATAATGACTCTAAATCTAGATTGTAATACAATGAGGTGATGGAGGTGGTTCATAGTCATGGCCTCATGGGACTTAAAAATTTAGGCCATATTTATTCAATGTGCTCTACTTCTAGCATGTATCTATGCGTCACTTTCTTGTTATTTTTTTCATCTTTACCCCTCTTTGTGTCTCAGAAATCTGTCAACTGCTGCATTGATGGAAAGAATACCCACTAGATGGCTCTATCCAGAGTGGCATGTACCATGCAAGAGTTACAGGGTAAGATCTGTTGTAAACTTGTGTTGGCCTCCAAAGAATGCATGTCAGAAATATAACATTCTAGGGAAGCACGCAAGTCTTCTTAGGCCATTTGTTGGCCTCCAAATAGTGCTTAAATGTTCATACGAGGTGATTGCTTTTTTTTTTTAACAGGTGGTGATCCAGGGACACTTTGTTTGGGTTAGATCTGTTGCATTTGACCCAAGTAATGAATGGTTTTGCACTGGTTCAGCTGATCGTACCATCAAGGTAACCAATGAGCTCTATATTTCAATGTCATTATTCTTGTAACCTTTTCTTGCCTCTAAAATATGCAATTAAGCTAGTTCCTGTTTTCTACCCCTTGATGCATCATTTTCCTATATCTCATGAATTTATTTTACTATCCTCCTGTGGGAACTCGAGTGCAACTTAAGCGCTTGTAGCAATCCTGGTTGTATTACGCTTGCTGAATTGCTTATTTGGCTCATGTTCACTAGATATGGGATGTAGCGACTGAAAGGTCTGCGTCCCATCCTTTTCTTAATGTATGGACTCTTCATAATGAACACTACATCTAGATTGTAATAAAACTCCAATGAGGTGATTTAGGTTGGTCATAGTCATGGAACATAAAGTTCGCCATAGCTATTCAATGTGAAATACTTCTAGCTTGTATCTATGCTGGCCTCCAAAGTGCTTAAATGTTCATACGAGGTGATGTTTTTTCCGATAACAGGTTATCAACGGACACTTGGGTTTGGTTAGATCTGTTGCATTTGACCCAAGTAATGCATGGTTTTGCACCGGTTCAGCTGATCGTACCATTAAGGTAACCAATGGGCTCTTTTTTGGAATTCCGCTTCAATGCCCTTTTTCATTATTCTTGTAACCTTTTCTTGCTATTATATGAATTTTGCTAGAGCCTGTTTTCTAGTTCTTGATGCATCATTTACCTTACTTTTCATCCATCCTGTGGGTTGTTCCTGGAACTCGAGTGAAACTGTAACGGTTGTAGCAATCCTGGTTCTAGTAATCTTACTGAATTGCTTATTTGGCTCATGTTCACTAGATATGGGATGTAGCGTCTGGAGTTCTGAACACATTGGGAAAGTACGAGGTTAGCCTTTTCATTCTTATGCATTTGTTAGTTTATCAAATATCAATGACTCTTGCAGAAAAGTTGCAACCTATAAATTTGTTTAATTATTGTTTCACAGGCCTTTGCTGTAAGCAACAGGCATACCTATATGTTCTCTTCTGGCGATGACAAGCAAGTCAAATGCTGGGACCTTGAGCAGAATAAGGTTTAAACTCGATGATGGACTTCATTTCATCAGTAAATGCATTATTGTCTTCCTGATCTGAACTTCTAATGTGCAATGTTTTTGGAATTTGGCTTGGATAGGTTATCCGATCTTATCATGGTCATTTGCATGGTGTCTACTGTTTAGCTCTTCATCAAACTGTAGACGTTTTACTAACCAGAGGGCGAGACTCTGTCTGCAGGGTATGAAATTTACTGACAGGATGTATCCTGTGTTTAGAACCGTGTGATTTATTTCATTTTCTTAGTATGCTCAGTCTGTTGTTAATAATTCATTTCTGCTTATAGGTATGGGATATCCGTACGAAGATGAAAATTTTTGCGCTCTTGGGACATGACAAGGATGTCTGCTCCGTTGTCTCCCGTGCAACAGTATACCGCTTTTCATCTTCTCTTTATTTGATAAGATAATTTCTTTATTGTACTTGTGTCAGACACTGCTATGATATGCTCAGATAGTCATATGTTTTCTTTCGAAATCATTTGAACTTTTGGGATAGGGAACTGATGGTGTGTGCCATGTTGCAGGACCCACAAGTTATTACCGGATCTCATGATTCAACCATTAGATTTTGGGACCTCCGATATGGTACACTTAACGTTTAACCATCTTTTGGACTTTTGCTTTTCTTTTCCTCTCTAGCTTTTCATTGTGTGCAGGGTTGGCTAACAAATATACTGTTTGATATTATAATCAGGTAGAACAATGACAACACTAACACATCTTAAGAAAGCTGTCCGAGAAATGGCTCTCCATCTGAAAGAGTAACTGTCTTTCTCTTTCTACCTTAGCATTTGCGCAAGATAATGCACCTCTGCTTTAATGTATCTCTCTGTTTCGTTCAGGAATGCTTTCGTTTCTGCATTGGCTGACAATACCAAGAAATTTAGACTTTCTAAGGGAGAGTTTTGCCACAACATGCTGTAAGTTTCTGGAATCCTTGTAATTAGTTCTTGGATCATTATTGTATCTAGTTTTCTCTATGTCTTAAACCCTTCTCTTACATCTTCAAGTGCAATGGAAAAGATTTATTTATTTCAAGTAGCAACTTTTTAGTTTTCTGATGTGTTTTAACGTTGTCTTACTCCATGGAGCAGTTCGCAGCAAAGAGCCACAATTAACGCAGTGGCTGTGAACGAGGATGGTGTAATGGTCACTGGAGATTCACTTACTCAATCTCTGCTACTTCTTGAGGAGATCAAAAGTTTTGGGAAGGTTAGAGAAGCTGTTAGGAACCAAGGAACAGGCAGCCTGTTAGGAATGGTGAAAGCTGGTATGACCGATGAAGCTGTTTGGTTGTATGAAAACATGGAAGAACGCTGCAGAAAATTAAAAGAAAATTCTCTCAGCTTTGATGTTAAGATTATTGATTCGGTGGTGAAGGTCTTCTCAGCCACTACAAGGCATGACTCATATCGGCCTTGGCAGAATCTTGAGGTTCAAGAATGCGGCGGCTCTGGTAACCGAATCGTGATATTTAGATATTTGCCGATTGTTAAAGTTTTTGGAAGGTCATTTGCACAGTGGATTGATGAAACCCATCTTATTTGCCATGTCTTTGCAGGTTTTGCCATATCTGGAAAAAGGATTCTAACCTGCGCACATGTCGTTACAATCTTGAACCCATGCACATTTATCGACGTCCAGAGGAACAATTCAACTACTCTATACAAGGCCAGAGTTACAAAGATTGCACATGAATGTGATTTAGCCATTTTGGAGGTTGATAATAACGAATTCTGGGAAGGTCTGTCTGCATTGTCCTTTGCAGACATACCACTTGTAGGAGAAGCTTTAACTGTTGTTGGTTTTCCCGAAGGTACTATTGGATTTATATGAGAATATAAAGGTATACATGTGTTACAAATTTCTCTTAATGCTTTGGTTTTGAATGCAGGTCATGAGTCTAATGTCTGTGAAAGTGGGCTTGTAACTGGGATAAAGTTCCGGCAGTACACTCATAGTCAGACTGAGCATTTGGCCATTACTGTAGACGCAAACATCATTAGTGGGCACAGTGGAGGTCCAGCCATTACGCAAGGAAAAGTTATCGGTGTTGCTTTCCAGAGTATTGATTTTAAAGTGTTTAAGGCGCATATTGGGTAAGAAGTTGTGCATAACTTTTTTGTGTTTATGTCTAATTTTAAATTGGAGTTTTCTGATATTTACTTTGTTGTTTTATGCAGCTCTGTAATTCCAACATACGTTGTGATGCAGTTTCTTTCTTCTTCTGAAGAAAGTCAGCAACTCTCTTCTTTCAGCTCATTGGGCTTGACATACACTCTTAGCAACTTCTCCAAAGGAGTACTAATCAATAGAATTAGCTCCCTCTCTGGTGCTCATAAGATTATGTGCCCTCTCGACATGATGCTTGCAATTGACAACGTTGCTATAAGAAACGATGGGACAGGTAATGATATTTTATGTGTTTTCTCTAAACTTAATGGTAACTTTCTCTAAATGTTCTCTAAACTTAATGGTATTGACAACATCTAATGTTTTTGATGCAGTTCCTTTTCGAGGAGAAGAGCGTATTGATTTCCGATACTTGGTTTCTTTGAAGAAACCAGGTGACTCTTTGTTGATTAAATTTCTAAGAAGCGGAGATGTGCATGAGTGCGATGTCACGTTAAAGCCGGTATATTTGACTTTTCTACACATTTGTTAATTATTATCTTTTATACATGCTGCCATCTGTTTACTTTGTTACACATTTTTTATTTATTCTCAATTGTATTTCAGGTGACACCACATCTCGAGGTGCAAAAATATTACAACCGTCCAAAATATTTCATTTTTGGCGGTTTAGTTTTTGTGCCTTTCAGCAAGGCTTACATGGACGATATTGGTTATCGACTCCCTGCGGATGATCCCTTATTTACAACTGAAATCGAGGCAAAGGAGTTAGATGTTGGAGAGCTGGTCATGCTTTCTAGGGTATGTTATTTTTTACTTTAAAGTGTTCTAAATGTTTTTCTCTTTTGACAATATACATTGTTAATCTAAAAGTAAATTCTGTTTCTTGATGTAGGTATTGAGACATGACACCAACCGTTATTACGAACATTTGGAACGGCGTCAGGTAACTTTTCAATGTTGTACTTGTTTTTGTTTTTTAACCAAACCTTTTTTAGTGTTTTGAGAAGAAATTATATTTGCTTGGAACAGGTGTACAAGGTGAATGGAGTGAAAGTGAACAGCTTGAAGCATCTTGTTGAGCTCATAGAGCAATGTTCCATGGAGTATCTAACTTTGGATTTACAAGGTGGAGAAGTTGCTGAACTCCACTATGCTTCTGCCCAAGAAGCAACCTCTGAGATCGTGGAACTCTACAGGGTTTTCTACTCCAAATCTGACTAGTTTTGTTAACTTTGACTATTTTGTTAACTTCTTTGATTAGTTTTGTCAACTTTGACTATTTTGTTAACTTCTTCTGATTAGGCATTGACTATTCCGTCAACTTCTTCTAATTAGGCATTGACTATTTTGTCAACTACGTTAGTCAATTCTTAATTTATCATACTGAATTTACTTTTGTGCCGTGAAGTATAAGCAAGGAATATATAATGAGTATATTTTACAACTGGTGACTTATGTTTTTTTTTTACGTGAAGAAAACTAATATCCGTGGACATATCATCATTACTTTTCCATACTCGTTTTCATTGCAACAAAGCTCACAAAAACTCATAGACGTTCGTGTAAACACTCCATATTCCCAGCATTCCTCCGATCAAGGGCTCTGGGTGACATACCCATAAAACGGAAATAGTTATATATTTACACTTCAAAAGTGAATGAAATTATAATAAACCCTTTTTTTTTTTGTCTTCTTATTAATAAACCAAAAAACAGAGTATTACAAAAACATAGGCATGTTAATCGGGCTAATCCAGCCCGGCCCAACCCGAATCCCGCAAAACCCGCCTATGTTTGAGCCCGGCCCGGCCCTAACAGGGCTACATGGCTTTTACGGGATTTTTGGGCTTTTCTTTCAAGAATAATAAAATCTTCTAATTTTAATCTCTTGAAAAAAAATGAATCTATGTATAAAACGAGTCAATCGAAATTTAAATAACCACTAAAGCTAATTTAATTTTTAAAAAATTTAAAATCAAATAGATAATCCAAATTAATTATTTAAACTAACACCAAATAAAATATAAAATCATAATACTTATAGTAAGTGTAACGCCCCGACCGTCCCTACCAGTGGGCCCCACGTCCTCTCTCGGGCCCATGGGCCCACCCTTGTCCGAAGGTCGGTCAGCTACGTCCGGGAGGCTTTTAAAACGTTTACCGATCCTACAAATCACCACATGATCTTTCCATGTGTTTTGTCCTCACTCACATAGTTCCGACAATCACTTCCTGGAAGGTCACCCATCCTGAAACTACTCCAGCCCAAGCACGCTTAACTGTGGAGTTCTCTCAGGACAGTTGACTGAAAAGATAAGTGCACTTTGCACCAAGACTGTCACCCCCTACGGTGTGAGCCCTCTTGACTCCACACACGTCTGGGTTCGGCTCTGATGCCACTTGTAACGCCCCGGCCATCCTTACCAGTGGGCCCACGTCCTCTCTCGGGTCCATGGGCATACCCCTATCCGACGGTCGGTCCGCTACGTCCGGGAGGCTTTAAGAACTTGTTTACCGACCTTACAAATCACCACATGATCTTTCCCTGTGTTTTGTCATCACTCACACAGTTCCGACAATCACTTCCCGGAAGGTCACCTATCCTGAAACTACTCCAGCCCAAGCACGCTTAACTGTGGAGTTCTTTCAGGATAGTTAACCGAAAAAATAAGTGCACTTTGGTGACATAGGTGGCCAAATCAATTTTTTTAAACCTCTCCGCATGCACCACCATATTCCATAAACCGGGGTGTTACAATTCACCCCCACTAACAAATCGCAACGTTCTCGTTGCGCACCAAGACTGTCACCCCTACGGTGTGAGCCCTCTTGACTCCACACACGTCTGGGTTCGTCTCTGATAACACTTGTAACGCCCCGACCGTCCCTACCAGTGGGCCCAACGTCCTCTCTCGGGCCCATGGGCCCACCCCTGTCCGACGGTCGGTCCACTACGTCCGGGAGGCTTTAAAGACTTGTTTACTGACCCTACAAATCACCACATGATCTTTCCCTATGTTTTGTCCTCACTCACACAGTTCCGACAATCACTTCCCGAAAGGTCACCCATCCTGAAACTACTGATATCTCTGTATTTAACCGCTTTTAAGCATACTTTTCTCATGTATTTAGCTAAGTTTCCTCTATATTTCATTGCATTCATAGTCTTTCTCTTACTCTTTTCATCACTTAGTACGATTTGCATTGCATGGTATAGCATATTGCATATTGGATGTATTTCAGGTATTTGGAGCTTATTTGGGACTTAATGGATGCAAAGAAGAGAATTGATGATTCAATACCAGTCCGAAGTCCCTCAAAGATCGACTCAGATGGAAGTCTTTCATTGCGATTTAGCTTCAGAGCTCTTCATACAAGTTATAGGAAATTGAGTTACCTTTCCAACGGAGGTGATTTCAAGCGAATCAGAGCTTTGATGCAAGAATTATGGTGGTTTTAATGGAGACATATCACCCTGTGCAGAAGACTGGTTGGATGATGCAGGAGACAGTTACAATACCTAATCTATTCTAGCTTACAAGTTATTTCTAGATATTTCCTATTTTAAGTGTTTTCCTTTTCTAGTTAGGATTCTAGTAACTTTCCTTATTTCTAGGAATTTCTTATTTTATGCTTTAGGTTTTCTCTATATAAAGAACCTTAGGTGCTATGTTTGAGGATCAACTTTTATCGTTATTATTAATCAAAGTCTTCGAGTTTTTGAGCTTTACCTTTTTCTGGTGGATTCCAGAGCTTTTTCTTCAAGTTTGACACTCGCGAACTTGAACCTTCAATTCTAAGACTAACGTTTGTTGTCTTAGTGCATCCGACTGCGTCAAGTGGTATCAGAGCAGGCAATCTCCTACTCTTTTCGAAGCTTGAACAGCTATGGGTGATCAACCAGTAACCAGGGCCGACATAGAGGGTTTCACAGTGAGTTTGAAAGACTCAACCACGAACCTGGCAAATCTGGTGGCAGCGTTAACTAATCAGATTGCAGCATTAACCAATCAGATTGCTAACGCAGGACAAGGAGGAGGAGAAGGAATGGGACGAAATCAGAATCAACAAGGCAGACACAATCGACAACAAGGCAGACATAACCGTGTCACTGTTGATGATTCCAGCTCGGAGGAGGAATTGGAAGAGGAAGTGGAAGAACAAGGGAATCAAAATAATCAGGATTACCGAGTGAAAGCTGATATTCCATTGTTCTATGGGACTATGAGTGTAGAGGAATTTCTTGATTAGCAAATTGATGTTGATCGGTTCTTTGATGTTATGGAAGTCCCTGAGAGTAAACAGGTTAAGATGGTGGCTATCCGGTTAAAGAAGACTGCTGCTGTTTGGTGGGATAAATTGGCTATTCAAAGGCAAAGACAGAGGAAGGGTCCAGTTAGAACATGGCGCCGAATGAAACAGCTAATGACTGAGCGGTTCTTACCGGAGGACTACGAGCAGATTCTTTACAAGATGTACATTGATTGTGTACAAGGAAGTAGGACCGTGACTGATTATACAGCAGAGTTCTTACGTTTCTCTGAACGTAGTGACTTAAACGAAACAGAGAACCAGAAGGTGGCTAGCCTTGAAAGCGGAATTGATGGAGAAATCATCGCGGGGTTTCACAAATTTCAGGAGACCCTCGGTTCATAGCAACGTCGAACCAGCCGGAGAGAAGGACAAAGGCGTGATTAACAGAGATTCCAACCCTAACAACAAAGGAACAAGTAGTTCCACTAGTGGCATTCAGAAGGACAAAGCACCCGCTCCGAAACAGAACACTCCTTATGCTAGGCCAACCCTCGACAAGTGTTTCCGTTGTCAAGGAACAGGTCACAAGTCGAATGTTTGTCCCAGTAGGAAGACGGTTGCATTGCTAGAAGAAGAGGAAGACGACTTTATGGAGAATGAGGAGTATGAGGGAGTGGAATTTGCGGAAGAGGAATCTGAGGACAGAATCAGCATTGTTTTACAGCGACTGTTGCTATCATCCAAAGAAGAGGGACAACGCAAGAATCTGTTTAGAACGCATTGTTCTATTCAGAACAAGGTGTGCAATATGATTGTTGACAATGGGAGCTCCGAGAATTTAGTTTCTCAAAAGCTGGTGGAATATTTGAAAATACCCACGACTCGTCATGAGAAGCCGTATGGTCTCGGATGGGTGAAGAAAGGATCCAAAGTAGGAGTTAGTGAAACTTGCAAAATTCCTTTATCAATTGGTAAGCATTACAAAGAGGAGATAATCTGTGACGTTTTGGATATGGATGTTTGTCATATTCTCCTTGGGCGACCATGGCAGTACGATAACGACATTACGTACCGAGGACGAGACAATGTGATCATGTTTACATGGGGGAATCATAAGATTGCAATGGCTCCTGTCAAGGATTTTAGTAGCGTTGCAAAAGAGAAGAAGTCAAGCTTCCTAGTCATGTCGCATGATGATAAAGAACTTGACAAGGCTATTAAGGAATCACAATGTTTTTATCCGGTTGTGGTCAAGGGGTTGATGAGTGTCGTGACGGAAGAGACAACAACTCCACGTGAGGTGTTAGAAATTTTGGAAGATTACAAGGAGTTAGTTGCTGAGGAACTACCTGACAACCTGCCTCCTATGCGTGATATACAGCATCACATTGACCTGATCCCAGGTTCTAGTCTACCTAATCTTCCCCACTATCGAATGAGGCGTAAAGAGAATGAAATTGTAAGGACACAGATCGAAGATTTGCTGAAGAAAGGGTTAATCTGCGAGAGCATGAGCCCTTGTGCTGTACCGGTTCTTCTCGTTCCGAAGAAGGGTAATCAGTGGCGAATGTGCGTTGATTCTAGAGCCATCAATAAGATCACAATTAAATACCGGTTTCCTATCCCTCGGTTGGAAGACATGCTTGATGAGTTGAATGGATCAAAGGTGTTTTCAAAAATAGATCTTCGAAGTGGGTACCATCAGATTCGAATCAGGTCTGGAGATGAATGGAAGACTGCTTTTAAGAGTAAAGACGGATTGTACGAGTGGTTAGTGATGCCTTTCGGCTTGTCAAACGCACCTAGTACTTTCATGAGATTGATGAATCAGGTTCCCGTCCTTTCATTGGGTCCTTTGTGGTAGTATACTTCGATGACATTTTGATCTATAGCAAAGCCAAGGACGACCATTTGGAGCATATAAGGCAGGTGTTGCAAGTCCTCCAAGAAAATGAGTTGTACGTGAATTTAAAGAAATGCACATTCTGCATAAACCAGTTGCTGTTTTTAGGGTTTGTCGTTGGAAAGGATGGGATTCAAGTAGATGACGCCAAAGTGCGTGCAATAAAAGACTGGCCCGTTCCCAAAACCGCAACGGAGGTACGCAGCTTTCATGGTTTGGCTACTTTCTACAGGAGATTT